CTAGTGCAAGACAGATATAACGGTGGAGAAAAAAGTTTTTGTGAATCTACCTCAACTTTTGATGACCCCGACGATTGTAAATCTTTTATTGAACCTATTAAAGGAGATATGGTCACTGAATGTAATAGAGATGTTCTTCTTTAATGCACTAAATTAATTCCCATCTAGTTTGTTAAAGTCAAGAAGGGTGGCGTTTGATTAGCTGTGGGAATTCTCAACCCTCCGCACTATAGGAAACCAAATAAAACTTAAAGACCTTTCCTCGGCAGTCTCACTCAAAGGTCAAAGCACCGAATTAAGTTGTAATTTTGAATATCTAGTTTAGATCTCATTTTATGTATTAAGTACCATTCGGAACTTTTCTTGCAAATTCAAAAATAAAGGATGCAATATATGACTCAACAAAAGAGCAAATTAGAACGCGTTGATATTATTTTCTAAGCCTGGAATTTGTATGCAGGCATTCAGTGTACATGATACGCATAAATCATGCGTCATACCAGACCTACGTATTATGTACATTCTGCTTACGCACGTGTACCTCCAGAGCTTCTAATGAGACATCATGTATATATCGTAGAACGTGGTATTAAACACGTATAAACAATCATAAACTAGTGCCTTGAATGTAACATGCTCTCACATGAATACCATATTATAATTTATTTTACAAATCTCATTAAAACCACTTTCAATTCTAATGTGTTAACATTTGAAATATTTCGGGTCGCACTGCATAACTTATAAATATTTCAGTTTCATTTCTCTACCTTCTTGCGTTATAACTCATTTTACTTTGTTAAAATTCTAATCACAAAATCCACTTGAAATGTAAATCACACTGATAGAAATAGTGATGATAATTTTATTAAATAAAAATTAATATTTGAGTTTAGTTGCTTTTCAACTCTTACAATCTAAGTAAAGTAAACCACTTATAATAATATTTACTAACACAGTAAAACGTGAGGTTGTAAAATAACACCAGAATGAATTATAATAATCTGCAACAGTTTAATCACTCTAGGATTAAACTAACACCAGAAAGGATTAAAATAATCTAATTTGGTGTTATTTTTAACTATGAATCAAATTTTACTTTAATTAAGACACCAAAGTCAGCGATTTGTAAAAATTCAACGAATTCAGCTTCTCCAGGAAGAATAGTAAGTTAGTAAGTTAGTTACTAACTTACTAACTAACTTAGTAACATAGTTACTAAATTCAATTGTGTTCAAAAATTTTTAAAAATTCTCGTCAAAATTTCAATTCTCTTTATAAATAATAAAATTCTTTTCTGATATTCAATTATTTTACAAAATTTTAATCAAATTCTTGTCAAAATTTCAATTATTTTCAAAAGTTTTCTAAAATTCAATGATTTTCAATATCTACTATTTCAATAAAATTTTTCAAAAGAATTCTATTATTAAAAAAAATTTGAATAAAATTCTACGCAAACATTCAATATTTTCATAAATAATAAAAAATTTTACAGGAATTCAATTATTTACAAATCTTTTTATAAATTTCTTCCGCAATACTTCAATTATTCTCATAAATAATAACATTTTTACAGGGCTTCAATTATTTTTATAAATACTAAAATTCTTTTAGGAATTCAATTATTTTCATAAATAATAAAACTCATTGCATAATTTCAATTATTTTTAATGCAATTTTAATCGAATTCCTCGAAAAATGTAATTATTCTTAAAAATTTTATTAAAATTCGTCCAAAGAATTTAATGATTTAAAAAATTTGGTGATAACATTTTTTATGAGAATTTAATTTCAAGAAACATGAAATTAATAAATTATTTATTTTTGTATTTAAATAATTGAATTTTCGTAGAATTTACTAATAAAAATGGTTTTAAAAATGAATTTCAGTTAAAATTTTAGATTATAATTGAATATTAGAAGCATTATAATGTGGATTTTTAAAAATAATTAAATTTTAAAAAAGTTTCAAATTAAAATCATTGAAATTCTTAATTTTTCATATTTTTGACAAACAATTCTGTAGAATAAATTCTTTTTAAAAGTTTAATAGGATTTTTATTGAAATTATTTCAAGTTTTTATTTTTCAATATATATTTAATTGCAGAATTTTAGAATAATTGAAATTTTGTAAAATTGAATTGTCAACGAATGAATTTGAAAATTCTCAAAGAACTTTTTTAAAAATTATTAAAAATAATGGATTCATTGTAGAATTTTAGTTAAAAACTCTAGAAAAAAATTTAATTTCAGAGAAGTTACAAATTACTGCAGAAATTAGATTAGAGACGCATGATTATTCCCCAAATGTCATTTTTCCGAAATGTCATTTTACCAAACTGCACTTTTGCGAATAGTCATTTTTGCGAAAAGCCATTTTTGCGAAATGTCATTTTTACGAATAGTCATTTTTGCGAAAAGCCATTTTTGCGAATAGTAATTTTTGCGAAAAGTCATTTTTACGAATTTTCATTTTTGCGAATTGACATTTTTACGAATTGTCACTTTTGCGAATTGACATTTTTACGAATCGCCATTTTCACGAATTGTCACTTTTGCAAATTGACATTTTTACGAAATGCCATTTTTGCGAATAGCCATTTTTGCGAAAAGTAATTTTTACGAATTGTCGTAAAATTGATAATTGACAATTCGCATAAATGACTTTTCGGAAAAGTGATAATTCGTAAAAATGGCGATTCGCAAAAGTGACAATTCGCATAAATGCCATTTCTCAAAAATGAAATTTCGCAAAAATAACAATTCGCAAAAATAGCTTTTCGCGAAAATGACAATTCGCAAAACCGACAATTCGTAAAAATTACTTTTCGGAATAATGGCTATTCGCAAAAATGACATTTCGTAAAAATGTCGATTTGCAAAAGTGACAATTCGTGAAAATGGCGATTCGTAAAAATGTCAATTCGCAAAAATGACAATTCGCAAAAATAAAAATTCGTAAAAATGACTTTTCGCAAAAATTACTATTCGCAAAAATGGCTTTTCGCAAAAATGACATTTCGCAAAAATGGCTTTTCGCAAAAATGACTATTCGCAAAAGTGCAGTTCGGTAAAATGACATTTCGGAAAAATGACATTTGGGGAATAATCATGCGTCCCATTAAATTATTTTCAAGAACAGAAAAATTCTTCTTAAGGATTCAATTTTTTTACTAATAATAAAATTCATCGTAGAGTTTTTTCAATTATAATTGAATTCCTTGAAAAAAGTAATTATGTTCATGCAAGTTTTAATAAAATTAGACAAAAGAATTCAATTATTTAAAATTTTTTAATAAAATTCTTTATGAGAATTGAATTTTGAGAAACATTCAATTATTCAATAAATTATTTACTTTTGCATTTAAATAATTACATTCTTGTAGAATTGTCTAATAAAAATTGATTTTCATTTCATAAAAATGAATTTCAGTTAAAATTTTAGATTATAATTGAATATTAAAAGCAATATAGCGTGAATTTTTAGAAATAATTGAATTTTGAAATTAATTTTTTTGAAAAACTTTAATTGAATTTTCTTTTATATTATTTGAAGTTTTTATTTTCTAATATGCATTTAATTAAAGAATTTAGGAATAATTGAAATTTCGTGAAATTGAATATTGTATAAAAATGGATTTGAAAATTGCCAAAGAACTTTTTCGAAAGTTATTAAATATAGTTGATGTAAAATAAAATTGTAGTTAAAAATTTTTGAAAATAATAATTGAATTGAAATAATGAAAATATTTTTGAAGAAGTATAATATTCTTATAATATAAAATAATGATTTTATTACTTGGTCATCTTTAATTATTATAAAATACGAAGAAATCGATCACTCCGAGTCGAAGACTCGGAGTTATCTTCATGTTTTATAGTTATAAAAAAATTTAATGAACTATTTCATTCATTGTAAAAAATAACACTAAAATTGATTATTTTAATCTTTTTTGGTGTTAATTTAATCTGCAACACTTTTTAATACCTCACGATTTACTGTGAAACGCTGGGAGGAAGAAATTAAGAAAATTCAAAGTTTATTTTATAACAAAATTTTATTTTTGCCAATCAATACGCCAGGATATGCAGTGAGATTAGAAACAGGAGTTCCAAATTTATTATTTATGAAAGTAATTGAAATTGTGCCAAGAATTTTATTAAAATTTTGGAAATTAATTGAATTTCGGAGAAGAATTTGATTATTTATAAAGATAATTGTAATTCTGACAAGAGTTTTTTTTAAAGCTACTGTAACTTCTTTAAAAATTATTTTCATCATAACGATTATTCATTTCTAGAATTTTCAACTAATATTCTTTTCAAGTCAATTTTTTTTTTAATAATTTTTGAAAAAGTTTTTGAGAAAATTTTGTTCTAGCCATTGTTTAGGAAAAGTAAAAACAAATTTTACTAACAATTGTAAGTAAACAGAAGATAAATCCTGGAAAAAGTCTGGAATTTTATATTTATCATTTTGTGGCAACCAAGATATGTCTGGATCAAAATGTAACTGTTGTTAAAGATGTTTTTATGAGTATGATGGAATGTTCACAAAGAAAATAATGTGTTGAATCTATTTTCCTATGTTAAGAATAAATTAATCGATAAACATATAATCCCAGTGTGTAGTAATAAAATTAAATTTCATAATTATTCTAATAAAAGACGAAGTACTTAGTAAGCTGACGTCAGTGGTAATTTATAGGTTCCTTTACTTCCGTTCCTATAATACCACTAAAAATTTATGCAACCCCAACTTCAAGTCTCTGGTTATAAGGTCCAAGAATTCTTGATTATCATAATCGATCCACGTCACAAATTTTATTTTTATGACTAAATTATAATGGTTTACTTGATACTAATAGTTAGGTTGTGTTCATCAAATCAATTATATTCTTTACCGTAACAAAGAAAAAAGTTTTCGCAAAGTTTTAAATCTTCATCAAATTGAAAATAATTTTTAACTAATACAAATAAACCGATTATGTTTCAGACGTACAATCAAGACGCTCAAGTAGGAGAATCATCAGCATGTGCTACAGCTCTTCTTTGTGGAGTGAAAGCAAATTATGAAACAGTCGGTTTAGATTCGTCAGCTCGCTTTGAAAATTGTTTCTCTGCATTTAATGCTAAAGTTCCATCTTTAATGAATTGGGCACAAAAACAAGGTAAACAAAATATAATAATTTCACGACGTTAATAATAACTGTCGTTTCTCTTTCTAAAAATTGAGATAAATATTAAATTTTTAAATCGAAGACAGAAACTACTCAGAATTTTAATTATGCAGAGTCTGATCGCTGAGCTACTATGTTTCGAGTTAAATTGAATTCATTCGAGTTAATTAAACGAACAAATATAATACACTTGGGAATTGAAAAACGTAATTCCATATCAATTCTGAAAATGTTTCCTAACAATGATATGAAAATTCGACATTTTGTTAACCACCACAATTCATCATGGATATATTTAACTTATATAAAAATTAAAAATACTAGTTATTAAATTTAGCAAATTATAAACTTATAATTAATTCTTTATTTTAATTATCATTATAATAAAATAAATTCTAATAATTTTGATTACTTTCTTAAAAGTTAAGTTTAAATTTAGAGGTTAGAAAAAGTTTTAATTTACCTAATATTATAGATCAATCTAAAAGTGTATAAACAGAATTTTTAACTCTTTAGTTTTAAAAAAGTTTTAAAGCATACAAAATAACCTTTGCAGCTGTAGCTGAAAAAGAGACCTGGGTTTGTGCGATTTACTTTTCTTTTATTTTCGTGAAAGAATCGTGTCTTGAATACCACACGAGCCGTAAGCAGTTGATCTTTTGCTTTAAGAATAGAGTAAAGATCTTAGGAAGTTGGTTAACTTTCTTCATTGAAACTTGGTTGGAAATATTTTCAGCTGGATTTTTAACTGTTTCAAAAAAAAAGGAATCTACTTATTATTTTGAAAAATTTATTTATTTATTTATTTTTCCGAAATTACTTCTGTCGAACGCAATGGATGGGATTATTCAATAAAATCGTTTATCTAAAACGGCAAAGCATGAAGTTGCTAATTTATTTGCATGCCACCTGTAACAATAATAAAAGCAAGGATTTGATTAACAATTTTAATATTAGTTACAAGGAATACGAGTACAAATTTAGCAATAATATTTAGCATATATATAATAACATAAATAACTATTTTAATCGTTTCACCATTTAACCATATTTATAGGCATTAAACAAAAGTTTCATTTACTTTAGAAAATCATTTGTACCAACATATGTACAACATTCTTCTTTATTCCACTATTTTGTGATTCATATACTGATTGTTGTAATTTAGGTTTCGGTATGTATTTTTTAACAAACAATTATTATTTAATATTAAAAATAAATAATTTTATAAATATATTTAACTCTATCTCACAATTTTTTTTTTTATTATTGAAATATACCTATAAAATTTTTAAAGCTTCGTCGATGAATCTGAAATTGGATTTTCAAACTCTAAAATGGCGGATCCAATATGGCGGACACATTTTAAAAAGATAGTTTAATTTTTATGAAACTTGGTATGAAGAGATTTTATGGATCCCTGATAACGAAGAACAAACTTGATGTCAGATTTATAAAAAAAATTTTTTTATTTTGAAACGAATAAAAAAAATTGAAAATTTTCGTTAAATTTTTGTAATCTCTCCATTTGTTGGATCTATTATTTGATAAGTTTAAATTTTCCTACACAACGATAAATAGAATTGATATGTGAGTAAAAACTTTTGATATAATTGAAATTCATTTAATTTATTTATTTTCTATTATAAATTTATAATTAATTCAATTATTATTTAAATATCTTAATTTGTTTATTTAATGAATGTCATTTTGTTTCTTTGAAAATATTTTTAATAGACGGACAAAAAATAATGTTTATAGTATAAATATAAATTTCTGTACCTTACATTAATATATGGAATAATAATTTTTTTATAACAACTATTAATAATTGAGCGTGAACAAATATTTTTTCCCTCGCAGGTTGAACAGGTCAACTTTTACCTTATAAAAATAAAATTGAAAAAAAGGCCATTCATTTGTAAGTATAATTTATTTTATAAGAAAATAAATGAAACAAAATAACATATGATTAATGTTAAAATAAAAAATTGCATTCATCAGTAAAACGTTTACTATTGAATAGAGTGACTTGAAATTTTTTTTTGTCATTACACAAAAAGATTTCTTGTATTTAACATCGACTTTATTTTTTTAATAATTTTTTTTTTTATAATTTGAAGACATTTACTGATAATTTCTTACATTTACTGATAAGAAGGAGGGTAAAAAATACTCTTTTAAATTATAAAAGACTTGATACGCCGGATAGTATAATAATTGACATAGGTCAGAAAGTGACATTCTATTTATAAATAATAAGAATACCTGAATTATAAATATTAAAATAATATTTAAAAATAAACAGTTGTGTTACTTTTTATTTTAATGAATTCATTTTGGATGTTATAAAAGACTCATTCGGAACAAAAATAATTCAGTTCCTTTTGATATAAGCTCTTTATGCACATGAAGAAAATAAAAAATAATAATTAGTGTTATTGAAAATAATGTTTTTGTAAATATTATAATATTCGTGCGAAGTACTATTGAAGGTATAATATTTAATATTTATCTTTATTCGACCTGTAAAATATAAGTTTTTTAAATTTTATTATTTCACAAAAAACTATACATTTTCTTGTGCACTTAGTTAATCTTTGTTAAAGTTTACTTTTTAAATTTTAAAATTATTTTTTATTTTTAGCTAAAAATGTTGTTCTCAACAAATTTTATAATTCTTTGTTTGATCATTATTGCAATATTCACAATTATTGCCTACTATAGTGATAATAGAACATATTTCAAGGAAGCTTCTTCTCTTCCTATTCACAGAAAAGTAATAATACAAGCATTTTCAACTAAAATATTGCAACAGTATATCGAAATTATTAACAAAAACACACTAAACTTTATAAATGTTTTATCAAGTAAAGAAAATTGTGAAGAATTCGATATAACAAGGATTTACAGGACTCATGGAGTACGTTCTGTTTTAGGTAAGAATAGAAGTTTCTATAAATAAATTATTAATTTAATAAATATTAATCAGACATTATATTTATCTATACTTAGGCATATTGAAAAATTTTACGGTAAATGAATTAATAATAATGAAGATAATTTTTTGTCTCTTTTAGAAATATTCATGGATAATTCATTAAATGTGTGTGATGATAAAATAACGAAATTCGATGAATTCACATCAAGGTTCGCGAAATTTTGATTTAAAACAAACTTTGCTTATAAATTTAATAGCAAATATTATAGGTTAAAATTTGTGATATTACAATAATAGGTAACATAATGTAATCAAATAATTTTTTTTCCAGATTGATTAAACTTATAAAGAAAAGAATATATAATATTTTCATATTACCAGATTTTACTTTTAACCTTACACAATTATCGAGAGAGACATATACAAATGCTGCGTTAGTAAAAAATATTCTAAATACGGTAATTTTGAATAACGATTTTTAACTAATTTTTTTAACAAATTTATCTCCGTTAAGAAGCAGTGAAACTACATATAAATTTGTTAAAAAAATTTGCACGTAATTCGTGGAGAATTTCGTATAAAATACGATAGAATTAGTTTCAACTGGAGTTGAAATAAAAATGTATTTTACTTTTAGATCATTCAAAGGCGAAGAAAATATCTGAAAACTATGGATGAGAAAGGTACATAATCATTTTACTTTATTTCCAGTATTTTAGTCCCTAGTATCCCTATTTGATTGTTGATATTCTTTTGCACATTCCAGCAATGGACATTTTTAATAACATTCCCTTATGTTGTTAACAGATGAAAATTGTAATAAAACACTTCTGGATATGTTAATAGAACAATGTGATCATAAAAACTCAATCACCGATGAAGAGGTGTTACAGGAAATCACTACAATAATTTTTGGGGTGAAGAAGAAAAATTAATTTGTTTCTTTGCTTTGCTGACTTCCTGAAAATTATTCCTAAACTTTTTAAATTTAATTTTTCAGTCCATTGACACTACTACAGCTACTTTCTCATTTCTTATGCTAGTACTTGTAACGCATCCTGAAATACAGGTAATAAAAATGTTTTAAGCTAAACTTAGAAATATTCTCTTGAAGAAGCAATTGAAATTTAAAATATTTTGAATTGTTATTTAATACTCTTTAAAATTTGTATGTTTTTTTTTAAATAACCTCTAGACAAGGGTACGCGAAGAAATTTATAGAATTTTTGGACATACGGATCCTAATGATTATCCAGCTAATGCTAGCGATCTAATTGAAATGGAATATTTATCGAGAGTGATCAAAGAGACATTACGATACTTTCCGATTATTCCATATTTTTTACGAAATGTTACAAATGATCTTCATATTAGTTCGTTTCTCTTTTTCTAAAAATTTAAACAAACTTTATTTTTATCATATTGAAATCGTTATACACAGTAAAACGTGAGGTGTTAAAATAACACCAAAATGGATTAAAATAATCTGCAACAGTTTAATCCCTCTAGGTTTAAGTTAACACCAGAAAGAATTAAAATAATCTATTTTGGTGTTATTTTTAACTATGAATGAAATTTTACTTTAAATAAAACACCAAAGTCAACGATTTGTAAAAAATAAACGAATTTATGTAGCTTCTCCAGGGAGAATAGTAAGTTACTAACTTAGTTACTAACTTACTAACTTAGTAACATAGTTACTAAATTCAATTGTGTTCAAAATTTCTTTTTAAATTTCGTCAAAATTTCAATTCTCATTACAAATAATAAAATTCTTCTCTGATATTCAATTACTTTACAAAATTTTAATCAAATTCTTGACAAAATTTCAATTATTTTCAAAAGTTTTCTACAATTCAATGATTTTCAAAATCTACTATTTCAATAAAATTTTCCAAAAGAATTCCATTATTAAAAAAAATTTAAATAAAATCCTACGCAAACGCATTCAAATTATTTTTATAAATAATAAAAAATTTTACAGGAATTCAATTAATTACAAATTTTTTTATAAATTTCTAAAGCAATAATTCAATTATTTTCATAAATAATAAGATTTTTACAGGGATTCAATTATTCTTATAAATAATAAAATTATTTTAGGAATTCAATTATTTTCATAAATAGTAAAACTCATTGCAGAATTTCAATTATTTTTAATGCAATTTTAATCGAATTCCTCGAAAAAATGTAATTATTATTAAAAATTTCATTAAAATTCGTCCAAAGAATTTAATGATTTAAAAAATTTGTTGATAACATTTTTTATGAGAATTTAATTTCAAGAAACATTAAATTAATAAATTATTTATTTTTGTATTAAAATAATTGAATTCTCGTGGAATTTACTAATAAAAATGGTTTTAAAAATGAATTTCAGTTAAAATTTTAGATTATAATTAAATATTAAAAGCAATATATCGTGGATTTTTAGAAATAATTAAATTTTGAAAAAGTTTCAAATTAAAATGATTGAAATTCTTAATTTTTCATATTTTTGACAAACCATTCTGTAGAATTAATTCTTTTTAAAAGTTTAATAGGATTTTTATTGAAATTATTTCAAGTTTTTATTTTTCAATATATATATTTTATTGCAGAATTTCCAAATAATTGAAATTTTGTAAAATCGAATTGTAAACGAATGAACTTGAAAATTCTCAAAGAAGAACTTTTTCAAAAATTATTAAAAATAATGGATTTATTGAAGAATTTTAGTTAAAAACACTAGAAAAAAATTTATTTTTAGAAAAGTTACAAATTGTTGCAGAAATTCAATTATTTTCAAAAGTTTTCTAAATTTCAATGATTTTCAATATCTACAATTTCAATAAAATTTTCCAAAAGAAAATTTTTTCATTATTAAAAAAATTTGAATAAAATTCTAACCAAACATTCAATTATTTTCATAAATAATAAAGATTTTTACAGGAATTCAATTATTTGCAAATTTCTTTATAAATTTCTTCGCAATAATTCAATTATTTTAATAAATAATAAAACTCATTGCAGAATTTCAATTATTTTCAATGCAATTTTAATCGAATTCCTCGAAAAATGTAATTATTCTTAAAAATTTTATTAAAATTCGTCGAAAGAATTTAATGATTTAAAAAATTTGGTGATAACATTTTTTATGAGAATTTAATTTCAAGAAACATGAAATTAATAAATTATTTATTTCTGTATTTGAATAATTGAATTCTCGTGGAATTTACTAATAAAAATGGTTTTAAAAATGAATTTCAGTTAAAATTTTAGATTATAATTAAATATTAAAAGCATTATAACGTGGATTTTTAGAAATAATTAAATTTTGAAAAAGTTTTAAATTAAAATCATTGAAATTCTTAATTTTTCATATTTTTGACAAACCATTCTATAGAATTAATTCTTTTTAAAAGTTTAATAGGATTTTTATTGAAATTATTTCAAGTTTTTATTTTTCAAAATATATTTAATTGCAGAATTTTCGAACAATTGAAATTTTGTAAAATTGAATTGTAAACGAATAAATTTGAAAATTCTCAAAGAACTTTTTTAAAAATTATTAAAAATAATGAATTTATTAAAGAATTTTAATTAAAAACAGTAGAAAAAAATTTAATTTTAGAGAAGTTACAAATTAATTGCAGAAATTCAATTATTTTCAAGAGTAATAAAATTCTTCATTATTTTTATTATAATAATAAAACTGATCGCAGGGTTTCAATTATTTTTCATACAATTATAATTGAATTTCTCGAAAAATGTAATTATTCTTAAAAATTTTATTAAAATTCGTCGAAAGAATTCAATTATTTAAAAATTTGTTAATAAAATTCTTTTTAAGAATTGAATTTTGAGAAACATTCAATTATTTAATAAATTATTTACTTTTGCATTTAAATAATTAAATTCTTGTAGAATTTTCTAATAAAAATTGATTTTCATTTCATAAAAATGAATTTCAGTTAAAATTTTAGATTATAATTGAATATTATTGAATATAATTGAATAGGGGAACATAGTCTAGGTCGGCCACCTTTTTGACTTTTGTTTATAACTTTTTTTTAAAAATGAATTTGGACAATTGAAGTATATGGTTGGAAAGTCCTGTTTAATAGGAACATTTTTTCTGTACAAAGTAAATTGACAGGTTTAAAAATGAAAAAGTTATAAAGATTTAAAAAAAAAAAAATTTGTAGTCCAGGTTAGCCATTACAGTCAAGGTCGGCCATGTTTAAAATTCAAAGGGCATTAATCGTTAAAAAATAAAATAACATGTTTGGAGTTACGGAAAATTGATTCTTTATTGTTTACAGTTTGTAACTTAATGAAATAACAAAATAATAACAATAAACAATATAAAAAAATAAATATAAATAAAAAAAAGTTTTGCACTAAAATATTAATAAAATTAAATAAAAATATTAATAAGATGATCAATTATATTATGAGTTATACAGAATTGCAGTTTTTGCAAATGAAGTAGCTCGTCCTCAACTTTGCGCATTTTAAACACATAGTGGCCGACCTTGACAGTAAGTAACATTACCGAATTGTTGTAAACAAAAAGAAATACGTTTCGGGATTCGATTTTTTACTTTGTTTTCCTTTCAACCATGAGTCCCACAAATTTTCTGCATACTTGCCTTGACGATTCAATTTGTTTTTTATCTTTTATTAATGGTTTTTCACATTATGCACAAAACTTTTTTTGAGCTTTTTTTGTACCGACGTCACAGAAAACACAATTTTCGATTTTCCGAAAATGTAATTGAACAAAAAGTTAGGTTTCACTAAGACAAGCTTCGACAAAAATGCGCGTAGGTGGCGCTAGTGAACTTGACAAAAAAACGCGAGTGGCCTACCTAGACAGTAGGCCAACCTTGACTACATTCCCCTACATCGTGAATTTTTAGAAGTAATTGAATTTTGAAATTAATTTTCTTGGAAAAGTTTAATTGAATTTTCTTATTTAAGATTTTTTGAAAATAATAATTGAATTGAAATGATGAAAATAATTTTGAAGTAGTTACTGTAATAATATTCTTATAATATAAAAAAATGATTTTATTACTTGGTCATCTTTAATTATTATAAAATATGAAGAAATCGATCACTCCGAGTCGAAGACTCGGAGTTATCTTCATGTTTTATAGTAATAAAAAAATTTAATCAACTATTTCATTCATTGTAAAAAATAACACTAAAATTGATTATTTTAATTTTTTTTGCTTTTAATTTAATCTGCAACACTTTTTAATACCTCACGATTTACTGTGTTATTTCTGTTTAAATATTAATATCATTTTTAGAAAAAAACACTATACCAAAAGGGACAGATGTATTTATTTCAATTGCGCAACTACATAAAAATAAAAAATTTTGGCCTGTACCAAAAAAATTTGATCCTGATAGATTTCTCCCTAATGAAATCGCAAAACGACCTTCATGCTGCTATTTACCTTTCATTATGGGTTCAAGAAGTTATTTAGGTAAATAAAACAATTTCCAAATTTAGTATTTTAATATATATATATATATAATAATAGTACAATTAACATATAGAAAATGTTTTATTACAATTTCTTCTCTATTTCAAAGGTTTCAGATTCGCTGAAATGGCATTGAAGATTGTTATTTCCTCAATTCTTCGAAAATATGTTTTGTCATGTGATAAAACTATACCGTTACAACATGTAAAATTGGATTACAGAATGTTTACATATCAAAAAGAACCAATTAAAATAAAATTAAAAAAGATAGAAACAAATTAATTCAAAATGATTTTCTAAAGTAAATGAAACTTTTGTTCAATGGCTATGGATATGATTAAATGGTGAAACAATTAAAATAGTTATTTATGTTATTATATATGCTAAATAGTATTGTACTCGTATTCCTTGTAAGCTAATATTAAAATTTTTATCGAAAACATGAAAAATTAAAATAGAACTGACTGAGTCTTGTCGTGATTTATTTTTCAAAATTGTATCTTTTTATATGTTAAAAATGCAACTCTTAGAATTAAGAGTACTTAATTTACGAAAGGGCCTATTAATATTCAAATAAATAAATCAATAAAGTCAAAATATTCATATGTCAGTCATCTCGAGAAATGCAAATTCTTCCCTCTTAATTCTGGGTCAACAATAGCTTTTACACCAGTTTTGTTATCTAATTGCTACAATCTATTGAGTGATATCAAATATGAATCTTAGAATAATAGTCTTGACAGGAAAGCATTTTCTAATAATTTCGTAATAAAGATCAGAATATAAAAAACCTTTTTATTTTTACAGGAACATAATTCTCTAGAGTGATAAAAGATTTTCTCCTCTTAAAACGAATAATTATTAAATTGTAAATTTTATTTTTTATTGCTGCCTAGGAAATAAGATTTAATGAGAATTTCAAATTAGGTTGATCATAAGAATCTACATTACTATTAATTGCGCAGAATTTACTTTGCCTTGTGTTCTTAGAAATTTTAATTGGAGGGCTTTTAGATTATTTAGTAAATTATCAGTATTATTCATATAAGTGACCAACTGTAAAAGAACAGGATTTTTATCAATCAATAAATAAGTAAAATACCAGGTTTGCCACAAGTCAGAGAAGTCAGGGAATAAAGGGAAAAGTCAGGGATTTTTATTAAAAGTACTGGAAAAAATTAAATTTTTAGAATTTATAAGAAAATTCTGAAATTTTGTGTTTTTTTTATTTGCCTCATAAACTATGAAATTGCTAAGAATTCTAATACAAACCCTTCAATTTTTTCTGTTTCTGACAATAATTTCTTTTTAAATAACTTAATTCTTCAAGAACTTAATTCATAAATAAATAAACTTCAAAGATTTCAATTTAAATTTTAGAAAATTTCCATTTTTATAATGAATTTAAATAGAAATTTAAATAACAACTAATTACAGAAAATCAATTATTTTCAAAAGTGATGAACTTCTTCGCGTAAATTCAATTATATATAAAAAAATTTTAAAAACTCTAGTCAAAATTTCAATTATCTTTATAAATAATAAAATTCTTCTCCGAAATTCAATTATTTTTAAAAAACTTATAATAAAATTCTTGGCAAAAATTTTAATCATTTCAATTTTTTTTAATATCTACTATTTTAATAAAATTTTCCAAAAGAATTCTATTATTTAAACAAAATTTTAATAAAAATTTCACAGGAATTCAAATACATACCAATTTTTTATATATTTCTTACCACCAATTCAATAATTTTTAATTTCTTAATGAAGTTTCTCCAAAGAATTCAAATATATTCAGAGAATTGAAAAAAAAATAATTCTGAGAAATCAATTCTTTCGAAAAATTTATTTAAAATTCATTTAAAAATACCATTATTTAAAACAATTTTGACAAAATTCTTTACAATTTAAAAGAGTTTGAATAACTATCTTAACAAGAAATTAATTATTTTTATAAATAATAATATTTTTCTTCGGAAAGAAATTATTTTCAAAAATAAAATTCTTCACCGGAATTCAATAATTTAAAAAAGATTTTTTTTTAATTCCTTGTCAGATTTCAATTAATTTCAATTTTTTAATGAAATTTCTCGATAGAATTTAATTAGTTTCAAAAAGTTTTAAAAAATTCTAAGAAATTCAATTATTTAAAAAGTTTTAAATAAAATTCTTCACAAGAAATGAACTATTTTCATTAATAATAATATTTTTCTCTGGAATTCAATTATTTTCACAAATAAAATTCTTCACAGAAATTCAATTTATTAAAAAAATTTTTAATAAAATTTTTGGGAAACTTTCAAATATTTTCAAAAATTTTCCTCATTTTAATTATTTTTAATATCTACTATTTTAATAAATTTTTCCAAAAGTATTCTATTATTTAAACAAAATTTTATTAAAAATTTCACAGGAATTCGTATACATACAAATTTTATATATATATTTCTTCGCACCAATTCAATAATTTTTTAATAAAGTTTCTCCAAAGAATTCAAATATATTCAGAGAATTGAATAAAAAATAGTTCTAAGAAATTCAATTATTTCGACAAATTTAAATAAAATTCTTTTAAAAATTGTATTACTTAAAAGAATTTTGCTAAAATTCTTTACAAGATTTAGTTAATAATATTGCAATTTTAATAAAAATTTTCCAGTACAATTCAATTATTTTCACAAATAATGTATTTTTAATGGAAATTCAATTATTTAGAAAAAATTTTAATAAAACTCTTGACTAGAAATAAATTATTTTTTTAAATAATAAAATTTTTCTTGAGAATTCAATTATTTGAAAAAAGTTGGAAAAATGCTTTATAAATTTTGAAAAATTATAATAAAATTGGTCGTAGAATAAAATTATTTTCGTAAATTGTAACATTCTTCCTAGGAAATACAATTATTGTCAAAAATGTTTGTAAGAATCTTCGAAAGAATTCAATTATTTTGTAAAAAATAAAATTCTTCAAAGCAATTCAATTATTTAAGAAATTTTAATAAAATTCTTCCCAAGAATTCAATTCTTTTAAAAAATAAACATTTTCACAGGAATTCAATTGTTTAAAAAAGAATTTTTTTAAATTCTTTCTCAGATTTCAATTATTTTCAACTTTGTAATGAAATTTTATCGATGAAATTTAATTATTTTCAAAAAATTTTAAAAAATTTTGAAAAATTCAATTATTTAAAAAAATTTGAATAAAATTATTGACAAGAAATTAATTATTTTCATTAAAAAAATGGTATTTTTCTCCGGAAAGAAATTATTTTCAAAAATAAAATTCTTCACAGGAATTCAATTATTTAAAAAAGAATTTTTTTTCAATTCCTTGTCAGATTTCAATTATTTTCAATTTGTTAATGAAATTTTTCGATGAAATTTAATTATTTTGAAAAAAGTTTTAAAAAATTCTGAAAAATTTAATTATTTAAAAAAGTTTGAATAAAATTCTGCACAAGAAATTAATTATTTTCATGAGTAATGATATTTTTCTCCGGAATTCAATTATTTTTACAAATAAAATTCTTCACAGAAATTCAATAGTTTAAAAAAAAATTTTCAATAAAATTCCTTGCAAGAATTCAATTATTTTCATAAATAACAAAACTTATCGCAGAGAATTTCAATTATTTTTTTATACAATTTTAAATATAATGATAGAAAATTGCATTTTATTCTTAAATTTTTTTTTCAAAATTCACCGAAAGAATTCAATTATTTTTTTTTAAATTTCGATAAAATTCTTCATAAAAATTCTAATTTTAAGAAATAATCAATTTATTGAATAAATTATTTATTTTTTGTATGTAAATAATAATTGAATTCTCGAAAAATTTTTTGATAAAAATTTATTAAAAAATGAATTCTAAGTAAAATTTTAGATAATAATAATTGAATATTAGAAGAGTTATTGTGTGAATACTATTTGGAAATAAATTGAATTTTGAAAAGGGTTCAAATTATAATCTTTGAAAATTTTAATTTATAGTTACAATGTTATTATGTTATAAAATAATGACTTTATCACTCTGTCATCTTAAATTTATAAATTTTTTTATATTTTTTATATTTATATATAATATATAATTTTATATAATATTTTATATTATATACCTATTTATATATTTATATATTTATATATTTAAACATTTATATATTTATATATTTATATATTTAAACATTTATATATTTATATATTTATATTGGGACGCATGATTATTCCCCAAATGTCATTTTTCCGAAATGTCATTTTACCGAACTGCACTTTTGCGAATACTCATTTTTGCGAAAAGCCAATTTTGCGAAATGTCACTTTTGCGAATTGTCATTTTTGCGAAAAGCTATTTTTGCGAATTGTCATTTTTGCGAATTGTCAATTTTCCGAAAAGTCATTTTTGCGAATCGCCATTTTTACGATTTGTCAATTTTTCGAAAACTCATTTTTGCGAATTGTCATTTTTACGAAAAGACATTTTTGTGAAATGTCATTTTTGCGAAAAGACATTTTTGCGAAAAGTCATTTTTACGAATTGACATTTTTGCGAATTGTCATTTTTAAGAAATGTCATTTTTGCGAATTGTCACTTTTGCGAATCGCTATTTTTACGAATCGCCATTTTTACGAATTGTCATTTTTGCTAATAGTCATTTTTGCGAAAAGTTATTTTTACGAATTGTCATTTTTGCGAATTGTCATTTTTGAGAAAAGCTATTTTTGCGAACTGTCATTTTTGCGAATCGCCATTTTTACGAATTGTCAAATTTCCGAAAAGTCATTTTAGCGAATTGTCATTTTTGCGAAAAATACAATAGAAAACTTGTAGGTCTATAAATCCACTATTGTATTTTTCGCAAAAATGACAATTCGCTAAAATGACTTTTCGAAAAATTGACAATTCGTAAAAATGGCGATTCGCAAAAATGACTTTTCGGAAAATTGACAATTCGTAAAAATGTCGATTCGCAAAAATAGCTTTTCTCAAAAATGACAATTCGCAAAAATGACAATTCGTAAAAATAACTTTTCGCAAAAATGACTATTCGCAAAAATGACAATTCGTAAAAATGACTTTTCTCAAAAATGTCTTTTCGTAAAAATGACTTTTCGGAAAATTGCCAATTCGTAAAAATGTCGATTCGCAAAAATGACATTTCGGAAAATTGACAATTCGTAAAAATGGCGATTCGCAAAAATGACAATTCGCAAAAATAGCTTTTCGAAAAAATGACAATTCGCAAA